CAACTTTGGGATGTCTGTACATTTCGGAGTCATTTGCTTGAGCTATAATATGGATTCAACTCTGCAAATACCTGGGCAGTAATATTTGAATGTTGCTCTTGGGAATTTGCTATCAATTTATTCTCAGTGTACTTACTGATGGGGCTTATAGATAGCAGAACCTTCCCTTAGAGCATGTTATTAACACAGCAGACAATCTATCGAGGGTTGATTATGGTCAACGAGGTACCAAGAACAGGTCAGGGGGTGCAGCCTGTTCCATTTCTTTGGCGTATTGGAGAGTGGCTTTTGTGGTCTTATAGCCCATTCTATTGTGTAAACCTTTTCTTCTTTTCTAGCAGCACAGTTGTCATACGAGAGTCACAAAGAACCAGCCATTCCCAAGTGGAAGGGAGTGGCTGACTGTATAAATACATCCCTCTCACCGGTCTGTGCCTGTTGTAGGCTTGGCGGGTTTCTCTTGATCCTGTCCAACTTAACTGCCTTCCCTGCAGACCCAGCCTGCAGTCCTTTGTCGCCCTAAACATTCTCCTCAAAGCCCCTTTATAAACTTTTTCTTTCCTGCTCTAATTTTTCTCCCTCTTGCCTACTTTGTCCTGCAGTCCTGTAACAATAGTGAGAAAGAAAAGTTCTTTCTAGTGGTGCAGTTGGGGAGGGGAGGGTCTCAGGACTACAGAAAAGCTTAACGTTCAAAACTTCACCATCTTCTCTCCTGCTAAGAGACTGGGAAGGACATGATGAAATGATTGAAAAGAATTGGCTTCCTCTAATTAAATGTTACTGTCAACTTTGTTCATCATTAAGAAGAGCAGTTTTTTCTTTCTAATTAGTTACTTGTTGATATCTTCGAAGAAAAAAGGCAAAAAGAGATAGGAAAGTTTTCAATTTTCTTTTGTAATCAGAATTTATTTCTGTGATATTCAGATGTCAGTGTGAGACATTGCTATGAATCTGCTAGGTTTTCTGTCTTTCTTGGGAATTAAATCTCTAATTTTCAGTTAATTAATGGTCACCTGGAATTTTGACTGTATTCCCTGCGTCCCCTGTAAGTAGACATCTTGTAGTGCTGCATTTTGACTAATTGCCTGCAGGTGTGCTGTATCACGGCAGCTTGGCCATTTCCTGAAGGAAGGTTTGTTTTGCCTTTCCTTCTTCCTAAGGGGAATGTATGCTGGTTCCCCCCAGGTACTCATCTTGGACCATGATGTATCTCTTAGTAGTTTGGGTTATTATTACAAAAATGCCATAGATTGGGTGGTTTAAGTGGCAGGATTTTATTCCTCACTGTTTCTGTGAGAGCTGGCATGTTGATGGACAAGGTGCCAACAGATTTGGAGTCTGGGGAGCACCCCTCTCCTGGTTTGTAGATGGCCACCGTCTAGCTGGGTCCTCACAGATGGAAGTTGGCAGCAGGGGTGTGGAGAGATCATCTGTTTTGTGTTTCTTCGTCTAAGGGCACCAATCCCGTCCTTGGTAACTTCGTTCTCATGGCCTAATTACTGCCTAGTCATCACCCAAAGGCCCTACCTCCAAATACTGTCCCACTGGGGGTTAGTGCTTCAGCAGGTGCATGTGGAGAGGCACAAACATTTTGCCCTTGTAAGGTGGGACCTGGCCTTAGGGACTTCAGGGCCCTCTGGACTGCTTGTGTACTTACTTGCTAGAGGACCTCTGCTCTGTGTAATCTCTGCTATTTATTATTTTCTCCCCCACAAAACTGAACATAATCTTAACAGATTCATCTGTGAGACTATTTAATCTTGTTTGGTACAAGGGAGTTTTTTAAGAATTTTTTTCATGTCAGACTGTATACTTCAGAAACAGAAGTATTCCTTATCCAGTAGACAAGAAAAGCTGAACTCTTACCAGTAAAAATATGTCAGGGTTTCCACAGCTTCCAGGATCTCACATGTCATGTGGGGGCTACTATGATGATTCTTTTAAAAACCACAGGGACATTCATCTCCCTTGACCTCTTTCCTTCCCTTCCCTAACATTTCTTCTTGAAGCCGATGAGTGGAACTGAAGAATAAGCATGCAGGTGTGACCTAGTGTGGGACAGGAGTAGGTGTGGGGACAGTCTTACAGGGTGGGGCATCTGATGGATAGGAGCTGGACAGAGGTCAGCATCTGAACCCAATAAGGGTGGGAAAAGAGGTGGAAGGGGAGGGTGTTTGTCACACAGACACACACGTCTGGTCCCCAAAGCCTGTTCTTACTAGGACTTCTCAGGAGTGTGAGTGGCGTGCGTGTGTGCGTGCGTGCGTGTGTGTGTGTGTGTGTATGTGTGTGTGTGTGTTTTCTAGGTCTGTCTACTGTGAGAGAGGTTGAGAATATTCTCCAGTAACAACGGGCCCTTCTAGTACCCTGATTTTGTTATACATACCATTTTCCAGAAAGGAAGGAGAGTTTATTGAAGAAGTAGTCATGTAGTCATTCCAGAGCTGGGGCAGGAAAAGGTCAAAAGGAACCCAAGATTCTTGTCTCAGGAAACAATGATGTGCTTAAAGGATGATGAAGACATCAGCTGAACCTAGAAGCCATATGGATGGACTTGCACTATCCATATGAGGCATAAATTTATCATTGTTACAAATAATGAGATTGTAACCCTTCAACTAAAATAGAAAACAACAAAGCAAAAATGTAAAGAAGTAAAGCATGATCCTCAACAGCTGGTGATTGCTGTATTTTATTTTAAAATTTTGTAAAATTTTATTTTTATTTTATGTGTATGTTTTGCCTGTGTGTATGTAAGTGCACCACATATGTGCAGTTCCTGCGAAGGCCAGCAGAGGGTGTCAGATCCCATGGAACAGGAGTTACAGATGATTGTTAACTGCCATGTGGGGCTGGGAACTGAACCTGGGTTCTCTGCAAGAGCAGACAGTGCTCCTAACCACTGAGCCATCTCTTCTACCGTGAATGCTGTATTTTAGACTGTATAGTTCTTTGTCCTGGCTTGGTCTGTCTCGTGCACTGTAGAAAGAGGAGAGGTGAAGAGATCCGGTCCCACAGTTCCTTTCCCACACTCCCCCAGGAACCTTATATTTGCACTAGGCCCCACCTTTTAAAGGTGCACAGCACCTCCCAACACTTTTACCTTGGGAATCTAGCCTTTACATTGGACTTCCTAGGCTTTGAGGGTGGGGCACTCATCCAAACCGTAGAAAGGACATAATGCAAAACAAGTTGGCCTGTGATTTTTCACAATTGCCAAGCTCATGAAAGTACAGGCTAGGAGACAACCATGAGATTAAGATTAAAGGACTGTGAGGAGAGTTGACGATGCCACCTACTGTGGGTTGTGAATTGGATCTTCTTTCATAAAGAAATGGAATGTTTCTTGGATTAGATTAGATTGGCTAAGGTCAGATAACCAGATTGGCTAAGGTCAGATAACCATGGTACATAGGATTTGCCTTTTGGTTTTGATGGCTGTATTGTGGTTATTTTGGTTTTGATGGCTGTATTGTGGTTATTTTGGTTTTGATGGCTATATTGTGGTTATTTTGGTTTTGATGGCTGTATTGTGGTTATTTTGGTTTTGATGGCTGTATTGTGGTTATTTTGGTTTTGATGGCTGTATTGTGGTTATTTTGGTTTTGATGGCTGTATTGTGGTTATTTTGGTTTTGAGCTGTATTGTGGTTATTTTGGTTTTGATGGCTGTATTGTGGTTATTTTGGTTCTGATGGTTGTATTGTGGTTATATAGGACAATTCTTTGTTTTTGTAGGAAATATTCCCTAAAGTTTATAGGGTAGCAACCTGATCTCGGGAGTTCAGACCAAGAAATAAGTTTTTATATTGTATTTCTATAACCATTATGGTATTGTAACAAAATTTAAAAAAATAACATGGCAAAGATTGTGCTCAGGAGGGATGGACACCCGTTTTCTGCCTTGCATGCTGGGATCTGGCACTGAGCCCAATCTTGAATTTTTTTTATTATTTTAATTTTTTATTATCCCTTTCAAAGAAAATCTTGACTACATTAAAAAGAATGTGCTTAGGAAGGAATAGTGGTGCACACCTTTAACCCCGTCACTGGGGAGGCAGAGGCAGTGGAATCTTGGTGAATTTGAGACCAGACTGATCTATGTAGCAAGTTCCAGGGCAGCCAGGGATACAGAGTGAGACCCTGTCTCAAACAAACAAACAAACAAACAAACACCCCCAAACAACTAGTGTGCTTACAAAAAGAGTGTTGGAGTATCAGGGAAAAAAATTTAAGCTGATTTCTTATATAAATACATGCATATAATTCTGACCACCCAGGAAAGACTTAGAACCCAAAGTGGAATACCAGTTCCTTTTATTCACATCGTCTCTTTTTTCAACTAAAGTGTTCGTTTTCCTCCTCTGTACTTAGATAAACCATTCTTTAGCAAATCTAATCTTGGCAAACAGATAAACCCTTCATAATAATGTTTGGAACTGGCAAGCAATATGCATTCCAAATTGGTATTTTGAAATGTCAACCAAAATAAGTTTAGAGAAGGTTATGGAGAGTTTTTGCCCCTGGCCATGAGATAGTGTATAGAGGCATTTCTAGATGGACAATGGGCACAGGTGGGGTTATACACTGCTGTCTACTGCTAGACAATGGTCAGTTTGGTATGATGGTTTTGTTCAACCCACATAGGGCTGTGTGTGTCTACGCTCTTGGCTGGTTCTTCTGAGAGGCACTGTATTGAGACGGATGGCCCAAGTTAGCCCAGCTGACCAGGTCGCCAAGCAAAACTAAATGGCTCTTGTAATGTGTGATCCTGTGACATGAATCTCATTAGCTCTAACTTGCTGTGCTAATTGCACCATTAATTGCATGACTTCTTCTTCATTTGGTTTAACATCCAACAGAGAGTGTTATGTGATTCCTTGCTTCTATTTTGAATGGTACCACTTCAACCTTTGAAAATAATTTTGCAGCTTAAAAGGTAGAGACACAAGTGTAATTTGGACACATTTTCTGACTGATTTTTTTTTTTCTTTTTTACAGTCTCCTTAGCTCATATCACACAGCTGGTGCTCAGTCACAACAAGCTAACAAGTAAGTTAACATTCTCTTTTGTTACATGGCTTCTCACCTGTGTATGTGTTATGGTACCTCTGATTCTGTTGTGTCCATTAAAGGCAGCAATGATTAGTGGTTATTTGGGGAAAATGAAAATTTATTTAGGTGACAACTAAGCCATATATGAGCATGTTATTGCCCTGTTCTTTGTGCTCAGCTCTACCCTGAAAGTTCTTTCCTATCATGTATATGCAGGTAGTTCTGCTTAGAATTGTAAATGCTGTGGTGACTTGGAGTGCCTGGCCATTGGCTAACATGGCCGGAGGAAAGGAGTTTGCTGGGTGCATAACTGTCCTAGCAGCTAATCAGTAGACTGAGGCCAAAGGATCTTTTGAGCCTAGGTATTCTAGACCACAGTACTGGAACAGCCAGCCATCTCAGCAACAAAACTGTATTAGAATAAAAGCCATTGTTTTTATCTATACGTCTTCCTCCAAAGGTGGAAGATTTCTTTGAGTATGCTTTTCTTGCCTGTTTGGTACATGGAGAAAACCCCACAAAACTATATAAATTGTATACAATTGCAGCTACGTTTTTCTAATTTTTTGAGACGGGTTTCCAGGCCCCTTCCATAGAATTCTCTTGGGCATCAGTCATGTTTTGGTATGGTTCACATGCAGTTGGATTAATGTGTGTTTTAATCAGAATATCTTAAATGAATGATGGGCTATTTTCTTCTTAGTGCTCAGGCTTTAAAGATTTTAATGACAGGGACCCAGTGTCCTTTCTCGTTCCTAATTGACTGTCACTTTGTACTTGCTATATTTCCTGCAGACTTGAGTGATTTTCTAATCATGTGGCAAGCATTTGGTAGGGCGCTCTCCAAGTCCAATGAAGTTGAGCGGAATGTCATGTTGAGGGATTTGTGTTGTGAATTTATGTGTGTATGTGCATTATATATAGCTCAAGGCAATGTCAAGGAGCTGTTGATTATTGAGAATTAAGAGTGACAGTGAAGGAGGGCCCCTCGTGTGCTGGAAGCAGGCGGATTAGCCCAGTTTTAGGCAGAGTGCATTTCTGTAAGGAAAGGCAGAGTGGCACCCTTGTCATGTTTTAAGTAACAGCTGCCACAGAGGCTGCAAATGAGACCTACAAGTCACGTGATCTTTGTTGTGACAGGTAATGTGTTAAGTCCACGGTTTTTAGAGCAAGTGGTCCTGCTGTCCATGGAGATAGCAATCCCAGCTCAGAGATTTATTTTGAAAGGTGGCCCACCACATAATCTCTAAATTCCTCAATACTTTTGAGCAGAAATCTCATCACTGTCCACTGCACAGTTTATGAAAGCATTGGTTAATTACTCAGCTTACTATGGATAGGACTTCTCTATGTTCACTTGTATTTAAGCAAGAAAGTCCAGTCGACCAAATTCCTACCATACCATTCAGTGATCTGGTCTTTAAAAAATGGTTCCAATAGGACACTTGTTTCTTTTTACATGTCTGCAAAGATAGAAACCTCAGGAATCAATGAATCAGTTCCTCCAGGCCTGTGGTATTAGGTACAGTTAGCAGAGTGTACATGAGGTCTGTCGTGTTGGCTGTTGAACAGGTTGACCATGAGAGAATCCAAACCTGGTTTTCCTCTTCCCCATTTGCTGCTTCTTCTACTTGAGGCTCTCTGGCCTAATCCAGTAAGTGTTAAGTAATCGTCTTGGTAGATTCTGTCTCAAGCCTCTTGTAGTGTCAGTGACACCCGATCTGTTCCACTAAGGTCAAATTAGCATCTTTTACTATTTTTCTGGCATTTAAATGAATGACTTTGCTGTGTTTTTTCATGTATTTATAGTAAATATGTCCATTTGATGGAAATATAAATATGCATTAAGTGTTCATGCTGAGCCCACCTTCCTGTCACTTTTTATTCTAATCAGTGTCTTTCACTTTCCATTGTTGCTCAGTAGGGACTGGCTGACAAGGCTCCATTCAAAGACTTGGACTCCTGAATCCCTCAGCACCCGCTTTTACTTTTGTCTTGTTGAAGTATCCGTGTTTTTCTCTCCACATGCCAGTTACACTGCCCTCTGACATTTCCACATGCTTGCTTATGGAATGAATGGCTAGCTTACTCACCAGGACCTTGTTCTTTCCTCCACCTGCTGGAGGTAATATTTGCAGGGGCAGCTGATAAGCATGGTACTGGGTTGGTAAGCCCCTTTTCTTGTTGGAGGTTTTATCTACTGAGAGTAATGTAAAACAGGTGAGGCCATGAAGGTGCCGCCATGGCCTCTATCATCGTGTGTGTGTGTGTGTGTGTGTGTGTGTGTGTGTGTGTGTACACACACCAGAGGTTGAAGTCAGGTGACTTCCTCAGTTGTTCTCCACTTTACATTTTGTGACAAGGCCTTCCACTTAACCTAGAGCTTAGCTATTTGCTTCGCTCGTTGGCCAGTGAGCCCCTGGGATCTACCTGTTTCTACTTCTGCACCATTCTGGGAGTACAGATGCATGCCACCATGCCTGGTTTTTTATTTTATTTTATTTATTATTTTTTCATTTATATGTATGTGTGTAATTGCCTGCATGTAGGTAAGTGCACCTGTGTCATGCAACGCCTGTGGAGGACAGAAGAGACTGTCGGATCTCCTGGAACTGGAGTTACGGACAGTTGTTAGCTGCCATGTGGATGTTGGGAATCAAACCCAGCTCTTCTGCAAGAACAGTCAGTGTTCTTAACCACTGAGCCATCTCTCCAGCTCCCATGCTTGGTTTTTATGTGGGTGCTGGGGATCCAAACTCAAGTTCTTATGTTCACACAGCAACCGAACCATCTTCCAGGCTTAGGATTTTAACTTTTTGTTTTACTTTAACTTAACAGTTCTTTATGTAGATATGAATTTGACTTCTTTCTAAAGAACCACTTCATCATTTATCAATCAACCAGTCAGTCAATCAATCATCAATCAATCAATCAATCAATCAGTCAGTCAATCAATCCAATCAATCGATCAATCAATGCTGGGGATGGAACCCAGAGCTTTGTGCATACAAGACAGTTATTTTACCATCCCAGCTGCATGCCCAGATTTATAAACAGAAATTCTTTAAGTGTTCTGTACCTACAAAAAATATATCAAAATTGCCAAGGTATCACAGTTGGAGCATTATTATTATTATATCAGAACTGTGTACATGTGAACTTGAGACACTGGGACGGTATTGATGGGTTTTGGTGTAGTGGGGGAATTAATGTCAGCTGAAACTTTCCCTGGTATGTCCATGTTCCTGACATCATTAAAGGGGACGGTGGAAGAGGACTGCTTAGATCTTCTTCTCCTGCCTTTCTATGATGGGCAGTTAGGGGTTGGGAACCCCAAAGGTATTCTTTCTGGCTCAGTGAGCAGAGTTTCAGAATAGATGCTTTTAACAGTTGCATTTGTTTGTTTGTTTAATTTATTGATAGTTTAGGGATAAAGGCAGATCTTCATTCTTGCTAGGTAAGTGCTATATTACAGAACATACTGCAAACCCAAAGCTTTTTTTTTTTTTTTAAAGCAATGATCATTTCGTAGTCTAGGTAGATGATGGGAAAGGCCTGAGATGAAGTGGGGAACCTAGGACCAAATGGCTTCTTGGGGACTAACTGGCATGGAGACTTTGAAGAACCTGATTACCACGGATAAAGCCCCTGCAGGTAGGGAAATCTGGGGTGGGAACCACTCCAGGAATACTTTTTCCTATTCAGCAGCTTTGTGGTCCCTGCTTTGCTTCCACTGTAGTCCATTTCCTGTTATCTCTCTGGGTACCATATAGGTGGCTGGGGCTGAGTCTGTGTCCGTCTCTCTCTGACTCTGTCTCTGTCTCACTGTGTGTGTCTGGATTATTTATTGATATCCTTGAGGTTAGAAATCCTGTCTTCTCATTTTGTATCTCACCCCCCACAAAAGTATCCATAGCATGTTGAATATGAAAAGGGCACACTAGTAATGCCACTTGATAAATGCATCGATTAGAGACAAACTGTGCTACCCCTGAGCAGGCTTCTTGCTGGGACTGTAGAAAGGAAGACAGTTCCTGAGGTGGTCAGAATTCCGAGTCTCTTACCTTCTCAAAGCCCTCTGCCTTTGTGAACCCTTTTAAGTTAGTGTTAGCATTGGGTCTTTTTTAGTGGTTCTTTAATTTGATCCCTCTTTTTTATGGCGTTTGGGATGCTTTGTAAATGTTTATGGAGCTGTTTTTAGTCCTTGAATTTGTGTGGGAGAAATCATTTTTAAGTCTTGGCCACTAGAGGTCACTGTTGGGACATGCATATTAACATTCCTCCCCCCCCAACTAAAGATTGAAAAACAACTTTGTGTTGTCAGAAGAAATTTTTTTGGCAGCTCTTTGGCCTGGCTTTGTACCACAGGACATGTCACTATTGTCATTTACATAGTGGTTTTGTCATATTTACAATAGATCTTTATCAAAAGAGGTTATGTTGTTTTTCTCCTTGGTTATATATTGTTTCACACTTTTTAGTGTCCATTATGGCTGCTTTCCTGAGTGAGAAACAATTATTTTTCCTGAGCGAGAAGCAATACTTTCTCTAATATTTTATATTGGGTGTCTGTGAAAATTTCTTTGCCTATAAAAGGATGTTTAACACGTGTGTGATGAGATATTAATTTAAAAATAACTATAAGAATCAGGACAATGTTCGTTTTTCACATACACTGACTTTTGTACTAGTAAATGCCATCTGTAGGTAAGAATACTGTGTGTTATGGAATGGGTTACCTTGGACATCAGCGGTGAACGGTTTCTGAGCATATACTTTTCAACATGAAACTTTTCTTAATTTTGGAAAGTAATCCTGTAGCAACACCCATCTACAGATACTACAAGCAGCTTAAATAGAACAGCAGCATTTTACATCTTAGACACAGGGATGTTGAACACGGAGCCCTCGTTGTGAGCAGGGACGCAAAGGTGAATCTTGTCATCTTTGCAGATTTGGGCAGCCCTCCATTGAAGGCAGCATTTCCTGTGTGTCTC